ATTTGATCCAAAATACAGCAAAAACGGTAACATTTTGAAATATTTTTACTATTTAAAATAACAGTTTTCTATTTGAAAATATAATTTATTCCTGTGATTTCAAAGCAAATTTTTAGGATCATTACTCCAGTCACATGATCCTTCAGAAATCATTCTAATATTCTGATTTGCTGCTCAGAAAACTATTATTATTATTATTATTATTATTATTGTTGTTATCAGAGTATTAGTATTAGTATATTAGTATTAATTAGTGAGTAGAATGTTTTCAGGTTTCTTTGATAAATAGAAAGTTCAGAAGAACAGCATTTATCTGAAATAGGAATCTTTTGTAACATTCTAAATGTCTTTATCATCACTTTTGAAGAAAGTGATTGAAGAAAGCATCCTTGCTAAATAAAAGTAATTTCTATAATTTCTTTCCCAAAGAAAAAACATGTACTGACTCCAAGCTTTTGAATGGTATAGTGTATAATGTTGCAAAATATTTTTATTTCAGATAAATGCTGATCTTTGGATCTTTCTATTCATCAAAGAATCCTGAAAAAATGTACTCAACTGTTTTAAATATTGATAATATAAAAAAATGTTTATCAGCATATTAGAATGATTTCTGATGGATTATGTGAAACTGAAGACTGTAGTGATGATGCTGAAAATTTAGATTTGATCACAGGAATAAATTACATTTTAACATATATTCAAATAGAAAGCAGTTATTTTAAGTAGTAAAATGCCACAATATTACTGCTTTTGCTGTATTTCGGATCAAATAAATACAGGCTTGGTGAGCAGAAGAGACTTTAAAAACATTACAAATCTTTTCAAACTTTAAATACATAAAAAACATAGTCAAACTTTTGACTGGTAGTGTACTTGCCAATTTTTGCTTTTCAGTATGTGTATGTTTTTCCATGATACAAAGTCCCCAGGGGACTGTGGTGAGGCCCTTTTTTAAGCTAGTGCATCTGAGAGGTCAAGATTTGTAATTTGTGCTTTAAAAAAGAAAATGTTCAACAGTTAAAAATAATATTATCAGAACTAAAGCTCATGAGTTATTGTGATTTTTTTGGGGGGGGTGGGGCTGGGATGGTAAAAATCATGGTTTACAGTGCAGTACCACTGTTTCTTATTGTTTTTTACAGGTAAAAAATGTTTAAACTAAATGAAAATAAACTCTACAGTACTGGTACTGTAAATGAAAATACGGTAATAATACTGTAAATAAAATATAGTAAAGACATTATTGTACTGTAAATGCAATTACAGTAATACTACTGTAAACATTTTTACAGCAACCTATTTACAGTGTAGTGTAATGCTATAGCTAATGCATATAGGCTAATTTGAGCCCCGACAAGACTGATATTGTGAAATAAAACAAACTAATTAGGCTTTTATTTTTAGCTACAGTGACGATGTTTATTATTACCTATACTATCATAACAGATCCATTTATTAATGGATCATGATTCCAGTAGTGGCTGCATAGAATTGTTTCCAATTCATCTGATCCAAACATTTCCAATAACTCCAGAGCGTTGTAAAGTACAAAAGTAAAAATGTATTGAAAAAAGATGTATGTAATCATTTTCAAAATTCACAAAATGTTTTAACTACATAAATATTCTGCTTCAGTTCATATTTGTTGACATTTAGACTTTCAAATACAACATTTTCACTGCGGTGAAAAACGTTTTTCTCCCACTTGCCGGACACAAAACAAGACGTGCACATTCCGGTGCGGTCTACGTAGCTCTTACACAATTAAATATTACAAAAAAATATAGTATTTTTTTAGGGTGATGACGTCATAAAATATGAAAACAGACATTCAAAGCTTCATTGTAAAAGCTCAAAAGAAGCTTCGAATGTAAATATGATATGACAAAAATGGCATTCAGTTCAGTCTAGTATGAACGGTCAGAATGACCGCTATGGCCATTCTAGTAGTTATAGAATTCCGGTAGTTCTAGTGTTAATTCCAATGGGAGAGATGGACTATTGTTTGTCTTTTGTTTATTATTATTTTGCGCTGTATTGTTGGTTACTGTATTATTTCTGTTTCAAAAGCCAGCAATAAATAAGACTTTAATATCTAAAAAGTGTTCATGTGATTTTATACATTAGTAATGTTGGGAAATGAATAAATGCATAATAATCAGCATAATCGTAAAACCGTGATTATTCCTCAGACAATAATCGTACCAACAAAATCTATAAACGTTGCATCCCTAGCCCTAAGTGGGACCATAAAGGGCCAGTGCAGGCTTGTTTGCTGGGTGTGGATCTACAGTAAATTGAATACTTTTCCTGTAAATTTGAATCTGTTTTATCAAGGTAAATGTGCATTAGGCTTAAGTTAACATTTTGTCATTGTGATTATGTGCGATATAATTGTGAAATTGGAAGCAATAAGACAGAACTCTCCTGCTTTCTGAAAATCTAATCTTGGAGGGGGCCAGGGTGGTAGTAATGAAAAATAGTAATGAAAAAGATGAAAAGCTTGTTTTTCTATGTAAACATGAATTAAACGGACATTAGAGATGCACCAGTAAATTGGAACCGACTATTGTTTTATTTTAATTATTTATTTATTTTTACTTTTTTGTGCTTATGATATTCAAGTAGTTTTATTATCAGTTACTTTCATACATTTACTTGGGTCAATTTCCATAAAGGTATCTGTATTTTAACTGAAGTATGATGATTAGATACTTTATACAACACTGATCATTTAGAAAAAAAAAAAATATATATATATATATATATATATTATTGACTTTATTCTAATTTTATGTTTTAAAATTATTTTTCAATTTGTATTTTGTATTTTGTTTTTGTATTTTGTCATTTTAATTTTGTATTTACTTGTCTTCTATATTTGAACTTTATATTATTTAGGCTAGCTTTATTTTTTGCTGTGATCGTAAATTGGAATCGAGAATTGTGAAATTTCATTTGTATCTAAAATGTTGATATCGTAAAAAAGTAATAACATTTAAGTATTTGTTTGTTTCGGCCAGGCCAATGAATGTTTTGGCAGGGCAAGTAAATGGCGACCATGCCAGCAGAAAAAACAACAACTTTGTTTTAAAGGTGTCATGAATTGAGAAATCAAAATTCCCTTGATCTTTTGATATATAAGAGGTCATCTTCATGAGGTCATCTTAAAGAGGTCAACATCTCAAAGCAAAGTGAAATTGTGCAGCACAGTAGAACACAAAAAAATCCATCCTTTACATCCTTTGCCATCCCATATGTATACGACTTTCTTTCTTCAGATGAACACAAACTAAGAGTTTTAGGGGAAAAAAACAATCGTTCTGCATATAATGTGTACATCATTACAAAGATGATGCTTAAAAAAAGAGAAGACACAATTCACCCATATAACCTGTTGACGTCGTCTTAAGTGAATAATAGGCATGTGAAAGAAACATACAAATACTTTTTTTTTTTTTTACTTTACCATAATGATTACTTTGTGTGCTTTTTGAAGTGGTTCCATGCATGTACATTATATGCACTAAAAATCAGTTTGCATTCATCTGAAGAAAGCCATATACATCTGGGATGGCATGAGGGTGAGTAAATGATGAGAGAATTAAATTTTTTGCATGGAGTATCCTTTTAATGAGCCAGATGTGATCCAGACAGAATATAACTTGTGTTGAATAATGATGAGTGACATCATATATATGTATATATGAATATATTTATGAATAGTTATTTATGACTAATTAGATTAATTAATGAGCAAATCATGTAATTATTTAGATTAAATAATAAATAATTGACAGCCGTGTGGTTTGAGCTCCGTCAAGTTAATTCTTTGTCGTCTAATTTTTTATCTTAAAATCAATTTTATACACCATCCTTTTTCAGTTTTATAACGTGTGAATATATCCCCTATCGTATTCTACAACAAAAACAATCAGAGCGCTTTGTTAACTCAAAATATCATTATAATACAACTTATAGGCTCCCAGGTAAAAACATAATTAAACAAGATTTACAATTAATTTAACACACATTAATGTACACACTTTTTGGAGATTTTTGTAACATTTAATATAATAAGTAATCATGGCCACTAAAACATGAATTTCAATTCTTATCACTGATTTTATTTGCACTCAGTCCTGTGCATTCAGCCAATACATAGACAGCTAATGGCTACATCAAAACAGACAAAAAATAATGAATAAATAATGAATAAACTTTAATATGCTTCCTCTGTCACAACTGCTACTGTGGAGGAACAAAGGAGAGCGGAGACGAAGGAGTTGAAGGCAAACAGTCTTTAATAGTCCAAACTGGGGAAAAACATAGGGTAGCCAGGAGACACACACTTAGCATTGGGATAAGATGTTTAACATAGCACGCTAGACACCTAGGAAACGTACAGGACTAAACGAGGGGATGACGAGACACACCTGGACTCAATGAAAAACAATAGGAACAGGAAGGAAACCAAATATGGGCATGTCACACACGAGGGAAAACTAGGTCATGGAAGGCACATGGGGAGAAAAACACAAGACAGACAGTCCATATT